GGGCTCAGCACTGAGTGTGTAGCCTGCTTAAGATTATTTTTCTCCCTCTCTCTGTTCCTCCTTCACTCACGTGCACATGCTCTCTCTTAAAAAATAATAAAATAAACCATCACTGCTTAAAATAAGTTAAAAGCAAAAGAAGTAGTTTTTTTAAATGTTTTTAATGTTTTATTTTTGAGAGAGAAACAGAATCAACCAAAGTTGGACACTCAACTGACTGGGCCACCCAGATGTCCCAAGAACTGGTCTTTTATATTTTCCTAGGTATTTACCATTTCCAGTGCTTGCTGTTACTTCTTCAAGATACACATTTTCTTTGGGTATCATTTCTCTTCAACTTGAACTTTCTTTAGTGTTCTTGTAGTATAGGTCTACTAGTAACAAATATGAATAGCTTTCTTATAAATGCAAGTATCTTTCAGTCTTGAAGTATATACACTTCCAGTCTTGAAGTATATTCTCACGGGATATAGAATTCTGGTTGACAGGGTTTCTCCTCCTCCTGGGGACTTTAAAGATGATATCATCTAGCCAAAAAGACTGCTGGTTTAGGAGTTTTTAGCTGCTGGATGCAGTACCATTCCTGCCCTCAGGCCCTGGGCCATTCTTGTAAGTTCCACCCCCACTGTGCCCCCAGAACCTGCCTCCTTTGTTCATTATCCAGGGCCTCCAAGTGGCTGCTTTTATATTTTGTTCGGAGTTTACAGTTACTGTCTGGGGAGGATTGTCTCTTAGAAGCTTACTTAGTCATACCCATAATAGAACTCCAGAGCTGTTTTAAATCTCTTTTCTACACTGCTTCCCTAAAATAGCTTAAACAGAATATTGAACAAGTCAATCCATCATATATATTTTATTACATTTGTTATTTACAATAGTAGCATGTTTGAAGGGCAAAAGGATGGTGTCAGTGGAGAGAGGGTTTCTTTTTGAGACGCTGTTTACTTTGACTTCTGCACAACTACTTCTTCCTGGTTCTCCATTTTTAATTCCCCGATTAATCTTCTCGAGGTTCCTTCTGTGACCTATTGTTTCTCTTTTAAACACTAGTCTCAACCCTATGTGATTTTTTTTAACCTCTGTTCCAGATTTCCCCAGGTAATGTCAACAATCCATCTGATTTCAACTATCACTTCACTGTAGATGGCTTTTACCTCAAAATCTCCACAATTACATCTCTCGAGTTCCTCAATATCTTCCATCTACCAGAAATCCCAACTGTATGTCGAGCACATGTTGTGGATTCTCCATTCCCTTTCAGCCCTTAACTTTTTCCTTTTCTGCCTCTCATTTATTTCTTCATGAAATCAATACATCTTTGAGTGTCACATATTGCTTTTAATGTTATAGATTTAGTCCTGAGGGAAAACAGTCTCTGTCCTTCAGGGCTTAAATTTCTTATTTCTTCTTAAAACTTAGTTTTTAGAATTTTTAGAGAGGGGGAGCATGTGAGTTGGGGACAGGGGAAGAGAGAGAGGGAAAGAGACAGAGAATCCCAGGCAGGCTCCATGCCGAGCACAGAGCCTGAAGTAGGGTTCAGTCTCACAACTGTGAGATCATGACTGAGCTGAAATCAAGAGTCGGACGCTTAACTGAATGAGCTACCCAGGTGTCCCTGTCCTTCTGGATTTAAACTTGAGAGAGCGACAGGCTGTGTACTAATAACTATATAGAAGTAGATTTAAGGATAAAGACTTGGAGATAAAGTTGCTTTTCTTGAAAGGCTTACCAGAGGTTTCTCTGAGGCACTGATATTTATGAAGAAATTTGACTAAAGCATTTCCCCACCCCCTTTGTTGATACAGAGCCACACTTTGCCAAATAACCCACTCAAGAATCAGACTGTCAGCTTAAATTCAATCTGCTTTCTTGTTTTTCACATCTAAAACTTTAAATTCTCATATGTATTTTAACTCCCTAACAAATCTTTTTTCAGCTCCAAGTTTCCATCTCTACAACTATTAAGTCCTATCTCTTCCTTTGAATTGTAATAGTTTCTTTAAAGGTGTTCTGGCCTCCAGGCTTATACTTTTCCACTCTCTCCTCCACGCTGGTACCAGAGTGGGCTTTATTAAACCAAAAACAGTTAATGTTACCACTTCAAAATAACTTATTGGCTCCACAACGTACTTCGTACTGTTTCTTTGTATTAAAGACTTTCATGCTCTACCCCTGATCCTATGTGTTTGTCCTTATCACTTACCCTGCCTTATACCCCATTTCTTATTCTTCTACAGGTGTGGCAGACTATTTTGCATCCATTTTCCATGCTTTTTTTTTTCTTCTCAGCTTGCTACCTCTATTAGAAGTGCAGCATCATCCCCTCCTCACCAACCACTTGGAAAACTTTTAAAACTGCATTTCAAACAAGCTTTTAGGTGATAGTGCCACTAATCCACTGCCTTACTGTGAGTAGCAAGGGCATAGATGACTTTAAGATAGTCTTGATCCCAAACCAAAAGAAATGATGGTTTCCATATGTCTTTGAGCACTGTCTTTCCATTTGTAGAATTCTCTTCTCCCCTTTCACTTGCCTAATACCCACCCATCCCTTGAGATTTAACTTTTTGTGCTCTCTGTCCATATTTTTTTT